GGGGGGGGGGGCTTTGTTTACAAATTAAATGTAGTAATTCAACATGGTTTTTTAAGTTGCATTTTGTGTATGTTGTCTTTGGATATAAACAACGCTAGAGGCACAAGTTGTTTTGATCTATAAAAACCCTTGAAGCAGCCAGCCATCTAGAAACAAGTTCACAATCTTGCTTTGAGCAAAAGTATCTTGCACAGTCTAGGAGTTAAATGATTGGTGACATCCTAGCACAATTCTGTGTGGAACTGAAGTCTCTGCTCACACATATATGTTCATCATTTAGTTATTGCAATGCCAAGTGAAGACTTACAGATCTGAAACCAACATCATATGCCAACATTAAAAATACAGATTTCGTATCACGTCTCTAGGCCTCAAAACATTACAGACACCTGCTCTGAAGCTGAGGTGGGCAGACTTTGGGCTTAAAATATTACTGAGCTCCGAGATTCTAACTGACCAGTAGAGCTGAGTAAAGACTGGTTTCAGTGGAATGAATTTAATGTTTTAATTCTTTGTTTTAAATTGCTTGATTTGAATAGGTTTTAATTATTTTATGTTCTAAAATTGTTTTATATAGTTCTGTAACCTGCTCTGAGATCTGGTGAAATACAGAGGGCTATAAATGTTTTAAATAAATAAATAACATTAACCAATTAGTACTCCTGTTTTATAGGTGAGTGACACTGAGGCTAAGAGACAAAATAAGCAGTTACAAGATCAGCTGTTACATCTTTCTTTCCTTTCCCTAAAGTGTTGGGAGTCAGGAATTGTTGTCAACCTATTCACAATATCCAGTGACCCATCAGTTAGACCGCAACCTACCTTTCACCCTATCCTGCCCCCAATCATTATATAAATTATTATTTAAGGTCTCTTCCTGTTGATCTACAGTTTATTTTCCCAGTGGCATTTCTCTGTAGGAAATTCCTAAGCTACTTTACAAATCTGTCTGGTGTTTCTATTGTGTGTGTTCCTTCCTCAAAAAAAAAAATTATAAGATTACTTGTGATTTTTTTTCTTATGATCTTTATTACATGTGTATTATTGTCCCACCTCTTGTTATTTCCAGGATTTTAAAAGAAATTAATCAAACTGAACTTGATGCGTCTTCTCTGTTGTCCTTTAACCCTACTTTTTTATTGTATCCTGTGCCTTGTCACCCATTACACTAAATCAACAACTTCCTTTTACAGCTTTGTTGTTATCTATTGTCTCAATAGTACATCCTTGCATATTTCACTTAAACTCCCTTGGACACAGCACCACCTAGGGTGGAAATAACAGAAATATTCATAGATGCAATACACATTTTCACATGGCAATGAAATGGTCCAAATTGATATGCAAAGTACTGACAAGACTTTAGACTGTACCTCATGTTTCCTGGGGGTGGGGAGTGGGGTAATCATATGCTAGTAACTTTGCAGCAATTGTTTCTCATGGTTTTACAAGGAAAGGAGCATATAAATAACTCAGGGAAGATTCTCTGCAATCTGTGTACCCTGAAACAATACTATTTCTATATGTAAAACACTGCTGGGCATATCATGTTTATTACTGCAAGTTCAACTATCTTCAGAAGAACTTTAGAAGACTGTACATCACCCACTACTGTGGGAACACATTCTCACAGATTTCAAGTAAACTTATTACCATATACTGATTTATTACATACTGCTTCAGATAATTTTATTGACATTAAAACTGAACATCAGTTTGATTTTATGCCTTCCAGCAAGAACTATTATATTGAGAGGAGGACTACATAATTTAGTTTCCTTTTAAAAAGAATCCAGCACTGAACTTAGCCACTTCAGAGACGAAGCCCAGCTCTCTATAACAAATTAAAAATTGAATCATGCTACAAAAGACATTGGCCACAAGTGCCATGAAGTGAAAGCAATTCTTCATGGATTTCAGAGTGTCTAAAATCAATGGTTTAATTTAAACACATTTAATTTAACTTTTAAGCAGATTTTTTCTTTAAACTCTTTTTAAAAGAATTTCATTACGATGACAGTTCTTTATTTAAAATGTGTTATAGTTTGAAGTTATCATTATGGAATGGGGTTGTAAATCCTTGTTTAAAAAGTTTTGTAAATACCCTCTAACAGTCAGGCAATCTGTTCGTCAGGTAGTCGGGTAACTATGTGGGTTTTCTGGTTCAGTTTATCAGCAAAACTAAAGATTCTATAAAGATCATGCAATGCCCTTGGAATACTTAAATTTTTGAAATAGAGAAACATTACACCTCTGTTGGTTGACAATGTGGCTAGAAAGCAATTACCAAACTGCTCCAGAGAATCTCTCTCTCTCTCTCTCTCTCTCTCTCTCTCTCTCTCACACACACACACACACACACACACACACACACACACACACACACACAAGTGATTTACAGGAATGGGGTGCACATGGTCTTTACATAAGTTTCTCCAAATGCTGCATTCAATCTGATAGGTCACATTTTCCAAGAGTATGAAGCACTGTTGACGTGGCTGATGCAGGGAACTCCCAGGGTGACCCACTAACTAATCTGCAGCTGTCACAAATACTTCTGGCTAGAGGATTACATCCAGGATAATAACAAATTATAAAATCCTCCACAGGCATTTTTTATGAGCATGAAGGCACTGTGGGAACACAGATGACTAGCTCCATCCCCTTGAGGATATTGCACGCATCAAATGCTCCTGAGCCAATACATGATCAATTGTAGGCTTTACAAAGTGGAAAAGGTGGCTAAGAGTGCTACATCCCACACAATAGAATAAAGGCCTTTATATCTCTCAGCCAAAGCAATTACGTCAGCACTCTCACTGGTTCAAAACATCGATATCTGCACACAGCAAATTCTGTTACTATAACATAAACTCTTATATTTGCGTAATTAGAAATACATTGCATTTAAGATTCAAAATGGGGAAG